AGAAGGAAATCCTATCATGTGTGACAACATGAATGAACCTGGAGGACATTATGCTAAGTGAAATAAGGCAGTCATAAAAAGACAAATAACGGCCGGGTGTGGTGGCTCAGGCCTGTAATCCCAGCACTTTGGGAGGCCGAGATGGGGGGGATCACCTGAGGTCAGGAGTTCAAGACCAGCCTGGTCAACATGGTGAAACCCCATCTCCACTAAAAATACAAAAATTAGCTGGGTGTGATGGTAGGCACCTATAATCCCAGCTACTCAGGAGGCTGAGACAAGAGAATTACTTAGACCCAGGAGGCGGAGGTTGCAGTGAGCTGAGATGGCGCCACTGCACTTCAGCCTGGGTGACAGAGTGAGACTCCGTCTCAAAATAAATACATAAATTAAAAGACAAATATCACATGATCTCACTTATATGTGGACTCTAAAACAGTCAGTCATAGAAATTGAGTAGAATGGTGGTTACCAGAGGCTGGGGAGTGTGGGGAGTGGAGAGACTTTGATCAAAGGACACAGAACTTCATTTAGACAGGAGGAACAAGCCAAGAGATCTATCGAGCATCATGGTGATTATAATCAATAACAATATGTTATATGCTTGAAAATTGCTGAGGGAGTAGATTTTAAGTGTTCTCACCACACACAAAAAAATGTGAGATAATGCATAAATGAAATAGCTTCATTTAGCCATTCCACATATGTACATATATCAAAACACCATGTAGTACACAATAAATATATACAACTTTTACACATTAAATTAAAATCATCCCAGCTCTACTTAACCCCTGAGCCTCAAGTTTGTCATCTATAAAATGAGATTGATACCATGCTTCATTGAACCATGAAGATACCTTCAATTAGAATATTCACCATTTAGGCTGGGTGCCGTGGCTCATGCCTGTAATCCCAGCACTTTGGGAGACCGAGGCAGGAGGATCACTTCAGCCCAGGAGTTTGAGACCAGCCTGGACAACATAGTGAGACCCCATTTCAAAGAAAAGAATAGTCACCATTTATTTTATGTGCTACAAAGAAAGAAATACAGTGCCAATGAAACTATGCACTGTCAATGATTGCAGGACACATTCTGATTTTAGAAATGTGCATATTTGGAATCAATGAGATACAGCAAGAATACCCACTTTGTAAGGCTCTTATCCTTAGACTGCCTGGCACATAGAATGTGCCCAGGACATGTCAGCCTGTATTGTTTCTGCTGGACCCATTTTACAGACATGGAAACTGAGGTTGAAGTCACATCTGAAGGTCACCCAGCAAGTAGTAAATGCTGGAGTCAAGATTTGGACTCAGTTTGTGCTCCTCTGTTCCCTTAGCTGTGATACCTGATTAATGGTTCAAGAATCATGTCTGATAACTGGGCACCCACACAGTGGAGGAGAAGACAGGAAGAAGATTGGGAGTGGGTTCCCATCAAGGCTATGCATCCACAAGCTGGGCCTCTGGGTGTCCATATCCTCACCCATAAAATAGATATAATAGGGAGAAGCAAAGACCAGTAGCTGCTGAAGGGAAAGATGACGTAAGGAGGGAAAGAAGACAAGGGGTGGAAATCTGAAGCTTGAGACTTGAGTAGTCTTGGGTGTCAGGCTTCCTTCACTCAACATTATGTTGGTGAGCTTTATCCATGCTTTTTGCAGTTAGCAGTAGTTTGGTTATTTTTATATAGTGCAGCATGAACATATTTTGTTATATGTATATATCATATTTTATGCACTTTTCTGTTGACGAACATTTGGGTTGCGTCTTAGTTTGGACTACCATGACAAAGTACTGCAGACTGGATGGCTTAGAAGCAACAGAAATTGTGCCTGTAGTCCCAGCTACTCAGGAGGCTGAGGCAGGAGAATCACTTGAACCCGGGAGGCAGAGGTTGCAGTGAGCCAAGATTGTGCCACCGCACTCCAGCCTGGATGACAGAGGGAGACTCTATCTCAAAAAAAAAAAAGAAAAAAAAAGGAAAGAAAGAAACAACAGAAATTTATTTCTCACAGTTCCAAAGGCTGAAAAGTCAACAATCCAGTGCTAGCATGGGCAGATTCTGGGGAGGGCCGTCTTCCAGACTGTTGACTTCTCCTTGTATCCTCATATGGCAGGGAAAGAGTGAGAGAACTGGCTGGAGTCCCTTTTAAAAGAGCACTAATCCCATTCATTAGGCTCCGCCCTCATGACTTAATTATCTTCCAAAGCCCCACCTCCTAATACCATCACACTGGGATGAGGATTTCAACATACAGATTTGGGGACACAAACATTCAATCCATTGCTGGTTGGTTCTAGTTTGGGATTCCAACACACAGGTTGCTGTTAACATTCTAGTGCATGTGTAGGGGTGAATATGAGAATTCATATCTGTTGGGTACTTACTTAGAGGAAGAATTGCTGGTTGTAGATTTGTATTAGTCCGTTTTCATGCTGCTAATAAAGACCTGCTGGAGACTGGGTAATTTATAAAGGAAAGAGGTTTTATGGACTCACAGTTCCACATGGCTGGGGAGGCCTTACAATTATGGTGGAAGGCAAAGGAGAAACAAAGGCACGTCTTAACACGGCAGCAGACAAGGGTGCTTGTGCAGGGGAACTCCCCTGTATAAAACCATCAGATCTCATAAGACTTATTCAATACCAGGAGAACAGCATGGGGAAAACTGCCCCCATAATTCAATTATCTCCACCTGGCCCTGATCTTGACACATGGGAATTATTACAATTCAAGGTGAGATTTGGGTGGGGACACAGCCAAACCATATCAGGTTATTATTTGTATGTATATTTCACCTGAGTAGCTTTGCCAGATTGGTGCAGTGGTTTCTCCAGAAGCTCCTGAGGTCATATGGGAGTGAGAGAAGCAAAGACCAGTAGCTGCTGAAGGGAAAGATGACGTAAGGAGGGAAAGAAGACAAGGGGTGGAAATCTGAAGCTTGAGACTTACCTGCAGTTACCCTGAGCAGGAGACTCTGGGAAGTCTTGGAGCCTTGTTGGCGGTGATTTGCTCTTTGGTCTGCAGTGGGGAGGGTGATTTCTGGGCTTTGGCCTGTGATGAGTGTAGGTGGCTGTTCAGGAACAAAGTATCCAGGGGAGGGAATCCGCCCACGGTCTCAAATATTGAAATGTCAACATGGAGTAATTGGCTGCTCTGCCCACCCTTCCTCCACCTCTGCTCCAGCAGCCACAGCAAACACCCTGCCTGGGACAGCAACCTAGGGGATGCGGGGCCAGCCCTGACTCATTCTGGGCTGCCTCCTGCCAGCTGGCTGGGTGACCTCCTCGGACACGTGAATCAGACTTTCTGTGAGTCAGCTACCTGGGGACTTCACCTTAAGCAGATGAAGAAAAAAATGTTAAAGATCATGGGTGGCTATCAGTAGCATTTTAGAAGAGTATACGGATGCGTGGACAGATAAACAGTGTGATATGTATATAGATATATCACTTATATATATTTGCACAAGTGTATGTGTGTCTGTTTACTATTTTGTTAATCACTTACAACTTCTTACAATAGCCAGTGATCTCATGGAAAGTTACCATGAAATGTACTAGGCATAGAGAGGTGCCTATACCTTCACATGCCTGGTTTCATGTGATTCTCCTGACAACTCAGAAAGGCAGGAGCTGTTGGCCCCATTTTGTAGATAATTAAACTGAAGCTCAGAGAGGTTAATGCACCCGCCCAAGGTCACACAGCCACTAAATGACAGATCAGGATTCTAACCCCTTAGTCCTACTCTAAGTCCCCATGCTCCTAACCACTGTGCTATACTTCCCACTGGATGCCAAGGCCTGTTTCCAACTCTGTATTTCATTCAATCCTCATACTCAACTACAGGGTTAAGTATTATTAGTTTCCTTTGGTCGATGAGGAAACTGAGGCCCAGAGAGGTGAGGTAACCCATCTCAAGACAGTAAGTAAGGAGCACAGCTGGAATTCTAACTGAGATCCCTCTGATACCAGCGTTCTTGCTTCAGTCACAGGACATACAATCTCAGCAAAGCCCAGTACACGACAAGGGCTCAGTAAATACCAAATGGATGAACACAATGCCAGGAGTATTTTAGCAATAACGTCGTAGGTTAAAAGAGGAAGATTCAAACAGTGATTTTGATGGAGATGGAAAATCAATTTTCACAGTGACGTTCTTTCTTCTTTTGGCCCACACTGCATACTCTGAGCCAGTCACAGTGCTAGGGGCTGGGAGTGCTATGATGAATCTAGAATCCATGCATTCAGTGACGGCTTGTGGGTGCCTGCTCTGTGCGTGCTGGGAATTGGACTCACTGCAGAGGAACGGGACGGATGAGCATACAGGCGACTAAATGAGAAGGTGTTACTTTCACTGCATAATGTCCTTTTTCATCCTGTCATTCATCTTAAACTACTGGTCCTGGAAATGAACTCAATGAGGCTGAAAATAGTTTGAAAAACTCTTTAGCTAGACAGGCGTCTGGTTTGGGGGTGGTATTACTGGTGTTTACACATCCCCGTCCAAACAATTGACTGCATCGTTTGCTGATGATACTTAATACACATCAGCCACCACTTTACTGGTCTTTCATCACTGTCCTCACATACTGACTCCTGGCAAGTGCATGCAGCTGGTGTGAATGGCCAACAGAATGCTGTCTGAGTGGTGTCTGAGGACCCAGAAGTTGTTGATTTATGTGCTGCTTTCCACCTGTGAGCCTCTGGGATGGACTGGACGTGGCAAACCCATTTCTGGACTAGGCTAGATTCTGTGGGTGTCCTTGTCGGTCAGCCACGTTGGCCAAGTTTCTAAAGAATCTACAAGAACTTCCTCCCAGATCTCCATCCCAGAACCAGATCTGAAGTCCAGTCCCTGGCTTATTATCTCATAAGCACGATAGTGGTGTGTCCACGTGCCTCTTCCATCATTTGCCACTTGAAGTAACTGTCATGGGTCACCCTCTTCTGAACGACTGCCATTAATTTATCTTGTCCTTTTGCTTTTCAGCCTCTGTAAGGGACGGACGCTCTATTCTGTCGTGAGGGATGCCAAAATCGTCTTGGATGTCAACAAAACCAGGCAGATTGCTCAAGAAATTGTGAAGGTACTGTCGGCTCTAGGGCCTCCTACCTAAATCTCAGAAAGACCCAGTTTTCCCCAGAGAAGCCACCCAACCCCAGGACTCCTAACATTCATGGTTGGATTTCAGACTACCAATCTGGACTTAAAAGAAATTAGACTTGACCTGAAAAATGCCAGGCCATGTGTAAGTAAGAATTCTGCCTCGATACGATCTGTAGGAACTATCCACCAATGGTTGGTTTCCATCTGGTGTCTCATTGCTATGGTACTTGGACCTATGCAAGGACCAGGGGTCACATACAAGCTATTCAGCCCTCTTGGTTAGGATCCACCATCCCTTGAGGCCTTAAATTCCCATGAGTGGAAACCGTCTCTCTCCACTGCTGCTAAGGAAACATCAAATTGTTGGGTGTTGTTTTGGATTAAAACAAACAAGAACATCCTGTGTTTTCTGGCAGGTGCCTTATTAGTTGTACTCAAGCTTTCATTTCTCATTTGGAGGTGTTAGGACCAAGCTGTAAGAGGAACGATGCGACTGCTAACAAAGGCAAAAAGAAAGAAACCACTGCAACTCTAGATGTTTGCCCTTGAATGAGGCTTCCAATACACTCTTCTCTGTTCTTAATGAGCAGTTATGAACATCTCTTTAGGAACTCAGTGCCTTCTGCAGCAGCATAGGTTAAGTAGATCTGACTATGTAGTCTTGCAGAAGAGTTAGTCTTTAAAGGGGAAGTGGATGAAAATGGTTGGTTGAATTCCTTTCCCTGGGGATCTCTTTTGCTTCTTCAGGAATCAGATGAGCAAATGGGGATGGCCTTTCTGTGGTCTGAGAGTGGCAATGGATTTGTGTCTTGGGGGCCCTGCCTGTTCCTGCTTGCCATGCCTTCCCCGACCTCACCCCCAGGACCCATGGTCAGACCCCAGGCCCTGCCACTGTTGAGTGTGGTCCCATCAGGGAGCCAAGTCTTCAGGACAAGGGATGTGAACTCAAGCCAGGGTGGCAGTGAGCTCTTAGGTTGTTCTCTGGCAACTCCCTGTTCCTTGCTTCTTGCAGGGCATGGGCTACCTCCATGCCAAGGGAATCCTGCACAAGGACCTCAAGTCAAAGAATGTCTTCTACGACAACGGCAAAGTGGTCATCACGGACTTTGGACTCTTCAGCATTTCTGGGGTGCTGCAGGCTGGCAGGTGAGAGGCGGTGGGAGCACCCGGAGAGTTTCCTAACAGATGATGGTCAGGAGGTGGGAAGTTAGTCCAAATGGCTTTAGTGACGTAGACTCAGGGTTGGGCCTGAGGTTGCTGAGCTGAGTGGGTCGGCTGCTCTACTGATGCGGGATGCGAAGGCCATGCCGTGTTTCCCCATGGGGAGGCCAGCACCTTGCTCACCTGTCTTGCCTTTGAGTGTGTGTGATTGTACACAGAGCATCCCCAGATCTTTCAAAGCCCCTACCCTTGAATTTAACTGGAGGGCTCTCCTCTAACCCTAAGTACTCACCTGGAAGTTGAGATCACCCAAGAGACCTTGCTCAAAGTTTTCTTAGGAATTAATTGATTTTAGTACAGGAAGAGTACAGTTAACAGCAAGGGGTTTAAAGTCAGAGGCAACCATGGCCTGACACAGCCCTTCCACTTATTAAATGCGACTTTAATCAAGCCGAACAACGTCTCTGAACTTTAGTTTCCTTGTCTGCAAGAAAAGTGGTAGGTTTGATGATGTCTTCCTCAATCAGTTCTTGTGAGGATAAAATGAGAACAAGCATCAAGCATCCACCCAATGTCTGATGCACCTCAAAAGCTCCACAAAGGGTAGCTGCTGCTGAGTTGTTGTAATTAGTATTAATTTGCATATACCTCCCAGTATCACCCAGGAGAATCATTAACTGTCGTTAAGTAATTAACTCTCAGCCACTACTCACCCTAGAGCAAGCTGCATTGAATTGGCCATGTGAAAACCAGCTTGATCTCAGATAACCCATAATTCAGAAAGTCTACCCTTGTGACTTTTAATTTGAACTGTGCTCTCTCTCTCTGTCTCGCTCTCTCGCTGTCTCTCTCTCGCTCTCGCTCTCACTTGAAACCTCTGCATGCTTTTTGTAATCCTGCATTTTGTAACAAATGGTGCATCTCTTCAGAAAGCCCACAGTTTCTCTCATTTTACTTCCGTTTCAGCTGCTTTTGAGAACCACTGATTTTTTTTTTTTTTTTTTTTTGAAGAATGCCGCAGGGACGCCAACAAAGTGAATCTTGTTTGTGCTGTACGATACCTTGAATCTGTTATAAGTCGGATCATTTGGAATTTGACAAAACTTCACGTAGCTGTTTCTGTGTGATGAGGACCGAACAGATGCTTAAGTTTCTTTTTCAGATTTTACTCCACCCAAGAAAGATTAACCATAGTCTACAAAACTATCTGTAGTCCCTAAGGCAGTAAGTAGGCAGTAAATATATAAATATATCAAGAGATACTGGAGAGAGTCCCTCCAGTTGGAACCCAAGAAGCCCAGGAGGGCAAGACCGTGTAGAATCCCTTCTTCCCTCTGACTCCCCTGCAGCAGTTAAGTTCCTGGTTCACTGGCAGGGAACTCATACCCTTCCCAGTTTCCCAGTGTCCCAGGGGAACTGCAAGGATGCAATGGTGGGTGACTTCACTGTGAACCCAAGTATTTGCATCGAGACAAAAGGAGGCCCAGTAAGAGTTTTCTCTAACTTGCTTCTGGGCTTTTATAAAAAGCAGACATTCTTCCCTCCTGGTGGCATGTCCACACTTCTCCCTTTCTCCTCACCAGTGGCTTCTCCCTGTGGTGGAGGAAAGGGGTGCAGGACCTCTGATTTTCTGCCTTTAGACTCAGTTTTCTGAAGCCACAAGGAGAAGAGGAAGAAAAAGAAATGGAATGGAATGGAATGGAATGGAATAGAATGGAATGGAATGGAATGGAATGCCTTGGGCATCCCCTTCCTTTAGCTCATTCATGGAGACCCAGTGTCAACCAGGAAGTTAGTTCAACCAAGTCAAGGGCAATGTGGCTTCCAGTCTGCTTGTCCAGACAGCAGCCCCTCCCACCCCTGCCCCAGCCAGGTTGTCAACACAAACCCAGGGAGTGCCCTCAGCAATATCTCCCAACAAGAAATTTCACATTTCCCGGCCACCCACAAGTAGCCATCAATGACTTCTTATGCTTTTATCCTTGTTCCAGTTACATATTATGCTGCAATGAACCATCTCAAAACTTAATGGCTTAAAACAAGGTATTGTCATCCCTCATGGTTCTGTGAGTTGACAGGGCTCAGCTGAGCTCTTGTGTTCAGTTTGTCCTGTAGGTACAATGGGATGGGAAGTAAAATTGCAGACAACTGAAGGCTTCCTCATTCACACAGCTGGGCTGGGCTGGCTGAAACATCTGGGGGACTGATGGGGTCTCTCTCATCTCCTGCTTTTCCCTCTTCATGCAGCCTGTCTGCATGACTACATTGGGCTTCCTCACACCACGGCAGTCTCAGGGTAATCAAACTTATGTAGCAAGTGGGTTCTACCAAAGCAAGCACGTTGCAAACCATGACAGGGAGGTGGAACTCTTGGGTGTCCCATGAATCCCAGGATGTTTCTCAGGTAGTGGATTTGCCTCAATATTTATGAATACCTCCAGTGTAGCTCTAGGGATCCACAGAGTCCCCTCAGGGGTTCAGGTCCATTTATTCCCTCTTGTTTATGCAAAGGCATCTTTGGTAACTGCCCCCATTGCAGCCTGGAGCCCCCAGTGCAGCAGCCAGAGGCCAGGAGACACCCCTTGAATAAGGGGCATCTATGGCCCTAATCAACAACCTGGGGGCTGGATTATAGGAGTGGAGAGAGAAGGGAGCTGGCTAGGCTTTGGGCATTGCAGGAAGCAGGGCCAGTATCTCTCAGGAGATAGGCCTGGAAGTTCCCTCATTCACTATTCACTCAGCCAGTCAGCAAATAATTAGAGAGTGCATGTATTAGTCAGCTTGGGCTGCTGTAACACAATACCAGACTCAGGGGTTTAAACAACAGACATTTATTTTCTTACAGTTCTGGAGGCTGAAAGTCCAAGATCAAGGTGCTGGCAAATTTAGTGTCTAGTGAGGGCTCTCTTCCCAGCTTGCAGATGGCCACCTTCTTACTGTGTCCTCATATGGCCTCTTCTCTGTGCACTGAAAGAGAGAGATAGAGGTCTTTGATGTCTTTCCTCTTCTTATAAGGACACCAATCTTATTGGATTAGGGCCCCAGACTTATGACCTCACTTAACCTTAATCACCTCCCTATAGGCTTTATCTCTAAATACAATCAAATTGAGGGTTAGGGGTTCAACATAATAAATTTGGGGGAGACAAAATTCAGTCTATAATACCTTGAGATAGATTCCAGAAACTTGTTTAACACACACCTAGGGGTTCCCTGATCCTCAGTTTCCTCATCTGTAAAATAGGAGTAGGGGCAGGCACTAATTAATAGCACCTACCTCATAAGGCTGTTTTGGTGATTAAATGGGATACAGATGAGGAAGGCTTAGTTTAGCATTTTGCTTTTTTTTTTTTTTTTTTTGAGACAGGATCTCTTGCTTTGTCACCCAGGCTGGAATGCAGTAGTGCAATCATGGCTCACTGCAGCCTCAACCTCTGAGCCGTCCTCCTACCTCAGCCTGTCAAGGTCTTGGGCTTACAGGTGTGCACCACCATACCCAGCCAAGCTTTTTAATGGTTCTCTCCAGAAATTCTTGTAGAATTGGGGTGAGGTGCCTAGTCCCTGGGGTTTTAAAGACTTATGCTCAAACAGATCTCAGCTCTGTCCCTTTGGACAGGTCACTTAACTGTTTTGAGCCTCTGTTTCCTTATCCACAGAACAGGATGGTAGCCCTCAGATTGTGGGCTTGTGAGGCCTAAGTGGGATGGGCACTCTGACAAACAGTAAGCATTCAGCAGGAGTCACTTGCCTTCCTGCCCTCCCCTCAGTTATTAGAGCTTGGGGTATGGATAGCCCTTGGTGCCCAGCAGGGAGAGACCACCCCTCAGCCCGAGGCAGGGATGGAGCAGCCCAGTGATGTGTGTTCTGCACATCCAGACAGACTCTAGCATACAGCTGTTCTGCCGTCGTCAAAAAAGGTATCATTTTAGATGCCAGTGCTGTCATGCCAGCCTCCCAAAGCCTGTTATTAATCATAATAACCATAATGAAGATGATTTGAGTTTGCCGCCAGTGGGCCTATCGCCATGGGAATGGGGCACCACAGGGTGTTAGTGCCAGGCCTGGCTCCCGGCCCCCTACCACACCGGCCCTAGGCTGATGGCTCTTGCGTGGCCACCATTCCACCTCCTGCCCTGGCCCCAAAATGCCAGTTCTCTGCTGACCCCATGAGTCAGGAAGAGGTGGCAGGGGTGTTTGCAAAAAGATGGGAGCAGAGAAGCTTCCCTTGGGCAGGAGCACCCCAACCCACTCCACCCACAGTGGCCCAGTCATTGCAGGGGAATGTTGGCTGGCCTATGCCAAAGACTTTCATGGAGGACATTCCTACTGTGGCCTCTAGTCTCAAATCCACTTCTGAGTCCTCAAGATAAACACACACACACACACACACGTAAACAGATATATACATGTGTAATGATTATGTCCAGTAATTGTGTGGCTCTGGCAGCTGACACAGTCCTGTGCCATGCACTGTCTCATTTTAGTCCTTGCAACAGCTCTGTGAAGTACAAATTAATGTGCCCATTTTACAGATGGGAAAATAGAAATTTGGGTCTGCTCAAGGTTCCATAGCTAGTAAGCACAGATGGAGCCTTCAACCTCTGTGGGTGTTCCTGATTGTAGAAGCAAGAGCTGATTTAACTCTGCTGACTCAAGAGTTTGCTAGTGAGTTTGAGTAGTAGTTTCTAGCACAGGATGTGTTGCATCATGTCTTTTGTGTAGAATGCAGGAGCAAGTCATGTGTTATTAATCCTGAAACACTGAGATTTGGACCGTTTCCTTATTTTGTATAAATTAGGACAGTGATTCTCAACCAGGGCAATTTTTCTCCTCCAGGGGACATTTGATGATGTCTGAAGACATTTTTAGTTGTCATGATTGGGGGAAGGGGGGTGCTAATGGCCTCTAATAAGTAGAGGTCAGAGATGCTGCTGAACATCCTACAATGCCCAGGACAGCCCCCGTGCCCCCCAACAACAAAGAATTGCCCAGACCCAAATGTCAATAGTGCCAAGGTTGAGAAATCCTAAATTAGAACAAATTTAATGGTGTCTGCCTGGCCACAGTTTTTTCTGTTGCATGCATGCCAGTCTGCTCCTAGCCTGGGAATGCAGGAGGTGGATGAGTGGCCCGGGATGAGATACCTGTGGTAAGCCACCATCCAAATGCAACTGAGAGTTGCGATTGCAGCAGTTACCCAGATATGCTTCCTTTGCTACAGTCCCTGTTTTGGGTTCTACAAAAAGTTGAGTATATGCAAATGGATGCTACCTTCATGTGTAAGATACAGGGGGAATGAAAGAGATCTTAAAGAACTACATGTGTGGGACACACCCAGCCCTACCCAGCTAGTGAATGTCACTGCAGTACTGGAACCCTGAGCCCCAAACTCTTGGGGTCTCATTCAGGGATCTTTCCTCCACCCAGTGTTTCTACAGGTGTTGATCTGCAAGTTGACTTGGGGGAGGACATGAACAAACATTTTCTATCTTAATTTTAACGTGTATTAGAAAATCACTAGTCTCCATGTATGGCCACACTAAAGAGTGACCTATTAAAATATATTTAAGTTAAAAATGCATTTCTTAGTACATGATAGTCTAGAACAGTGGTGTCCAGTTTGGTGGCCACTAGCCAGATGTGGCTACGTAAATTTAACTTTAATTAAAATGAAAAGCTCAGGGCTGGGAGCAGTGGCTCATGCCTATAATCTTAATGCTTTGCGAGGCTGAGGCTGGAGGATCCCTTGAGGCCAAGAGTTTGAGACCAGCCTGGGCAAGATAGCAAGATCACATAGCAAGACCACATCTCCTCAAAAAATAAAATAAAATTAGCAGGGTGTGGTTGCTCATGCCTGTAATCCCAGCTACTTCATAGGCTGAAGATGGGAGGGTCACTTGAGGCCAGGACTTCAAGGCTTCCATGAGCTATGATCTCACCTCTGTACTTTAGCCTGGGTGATTGACAGGCTGTCTCAGCAGACCCTATCTCTAAAATTAAAAAAAAAAAAAAAAAAAAATTAAAGTTTAGTTCTTCAGTTGTAAGCCACATTTCAAGTGCTTGATAGTTATGGTGGTTAGTAGCTGCCACATTGGACCATAGAGAGGACATTTCTGTCATAATGGAAAGTTCTATTGTACAATGCTGCTCTTGAAGGTATTTAGATATGGCAAAAATCATGATTATGGGATATGAATGAGTGCATTTGAAGGAGCAACATGTCACAACTTCTGCATCTCAGAAACTCTCCTTGGAAGAATCTAGCCAGCCCCAGGTCCCCACAGAGACCCTCATGCTAGAGGCTGTCATCCTGCATGACCTCACTTTTAATGATGATTCAAGATATGCACCCCCTCTCCCCCCGACTGCTCACTTCCCCTGTGTTAATGAGCCAGTTCCTAGGAGTCTCGAGTCAATGAAGATCTCAGACGGGGTCTACTTAGATTTCGGACCCACCTGGAAAGCTCTGCCTTGCTAAGGACTTCCAGTGAAAGAAGGGAGCCAGCCTCCTTCCACATCTAAGAATTTACCTAAGGAATAAATTAATGTGGGTGAAGGGAGATATTCCCAGTATCTACCCAAAGATGTTCATGGCAGCATTGTTCATAATGGTGGAAGAGGGAACCGCCCGCCCAAGGCCCATCAGCAAGGAGGTGGTTGTATACACTTTGATACATAGGATGGGATGATGTGTTCCAATTACACTGGGGTTCTTTAGGGTTCTGGAACACCCTGAATGGGGCCCTTGTTGGAACTTTGTCTTAGCTTCTCCTGCCTAGATATTCTCTTTGTTCACATAGCTGGATCCTTTATGTCACATAGATCCTAGCTCACAGTTTACCTGCAGTAAGATCTGTCTTGTCTTTGATGCATCCTCTATTTTAATTATTTGTACAATGCTTATCACGATCTTTAGTTTTTCTTATTTATTGAACTCATTTATTGTCTCCCTTCCCTACCAAAGTGCAAGCTCCAGGAGGGAAGGGACCTTGTCAGTCTTGTTCCGTGCCAAGCGCAGAACATAGGCATCATAGGTGATGGAAAAACAGTAGATTATCATTATTTGTGGATTACTGAAATGTATTTGTAATCCCCCAAATGAATACTCACAGCACTTTCACAGTTATTCACGGACATGCAGAGTGGGGAAAACTCTGAGTTGCCCGATGCACATGTTCCCAGCTTAGGTCAAACAAAGGATGCTCTGCCTCTGTTTTGGTCTCATACAGAGAAGCCTTGAGGACAGAGATTGAGCCAGAGTGGGCAGCACAGGGTAGCATAAGATGCTGCAGCTCTGGGGCCAGTTGGATGAGATTTGAATCCCAACTCTGGCACCTGTTAGTAGGCTTGCCTCAGACAAGTCACTTAACACTTCTGAGCCTCATAGTCTATTATGTAAAATAAAACAGAATCTATTAGGATAAGTTGTTTTCGGGAGTTAAAATTATAAACTATGTGAGGGATGTGTGCATGTGTACATATTTCCCCAGGAGCAATGATTCAGTATTCTACTAATTCCATATTCCAGTGACTTTATAGAACATAACTGCCATGAATAGCAAGAATCCACAGTGTCATTGAATGAAGATGGGCAAGAAGGTGGGTGCCTCAGAGGCAACAGAATTCAATGATGGTTTGGATCCTGAGTGTTTCTCTAGAGCAGCCTTCCCTGTACCTCCTACTGGGTTTCTGCCTCTAGTAGGTGATCAGGCAGTGCTCAATAGAGGAAGCAAGAAGGGTAGTAGAGATGGCTCCAGAGACATGGGGTCAGTGCCAGGGGGGCTGGTCCTCCCTGGGCTATGAAACAGAGCTCATCCTGTGCTTTGCTTCTCCAGACGGGAGGACAAACTGCGCATCCAGAATGGCTGGCTGTGCCACCTGGCACCAGAGATCATCCGCCAGCTGTCCCCCGACACAGAGGAGGATAAGCTCCCCTTCTCCAAGCACTCTGACGTCTTTGCCCTTGGGTAAGTGGGCCCTGCCCTGGCCACTGAGAGCCACAGCCTGGGCAGAGGGGCACTTCTCAAGTCTTTCAATGGTTTTGGAAGGGCCAGGATGTACCTGTCTACAGGGCCAAGATGGCTGGATTTTGGGGTGAGAATGGAGGAATCTGAGTAGGGTATACTAGAAAGAATGACCCTAACAAACTTGTGTGCCTGGTTTCCAATGGATTATGTGGCCATAACAAGTTACCCAACTCATTTACTTATTCAGTAGCTATTTGTTGACTGCCTGTTATGTGCTAGGATTGTAGCAGATGCAGGGGACACAAGACTCTGTGTTGTATTAGTTATGACTGCATGACAAATTATGCCAAAACTTAGCCACTGAAAACATTTTTTATCTTAAGTTTCTGTGGTCAAGAATTTGGGAATGGCTTAGCTGATTGGTTCTGAGTGGGCTTTTATGAGGTTGCAGTCAAGATATTGGCTAGGACTGTGGTCTCATCTGAAGGCTCACCAGGCTGGGGATCCAGTTCCATGGTGGCCCACTCGCACGGCTGTTGGAAGGAGGCCTCAGTTCCTCAACCCTTGGACCTGTGTATAGGCTGCTTGAATGACTTCACAGCATGGTGACTACAAGCCTCATTGTCATTTATGATCTGGTCTCATAAATTTACATATCATTGTTTCTACCATATTCTGTTTGTTAAAAGCAAGTTGCTAAATCCAGTCCACACCTAAGGGGAGAAGAATTAAGCTCTATCTTATACATGATGGAGTATCAAAGAATATACTGGACATATTTAAAACCACCAGAGGCCCCTACTCTCTCTTTCTAGTGGAAAGCAGATAAGGAAACATTCAACTTTAGCAAAGTATGATAACTGCTATTCTGAGAATAAACACAGGACTGTGGGAATAAAAAAGGAATCAAATCCAATCTGGGAGGTCAGGGAGGGCTTCCAGGAGATGATAATCCTGAGCCTAAGTTAAAGGTTGAGTACAAGGGCAGGGTGAGGTGTTCCAGATCAAAAGAATGTGCAAAAAGGTGCAAAAATAAAAGAACACATTGCCCACATGGAAGAATATGTAGAAGGGTTGGGGGAGGAAAGGGAGCTGATGGATGAAGAGTCAGGAAAAAATTAGGCTGGGGGTGGTGAGATAAGAGACTAGAGAGGGAAGCACAGTCAATCCTGCGAGGACCTAAAGGTTGAGTTAAGGAGGTTTCATTTCATCTTCAGTGCACTAAGGAGGCATTGATGGTTACCAAGCTCTGGGGGAATGGGGAGTGACATAATCCTAATTGAGTTTTAGATCAATCAGATCACTCTGGCTGCTGTGTAGAGAATGGAATGAAGAAGGAGAGGATGGGAGCCGGGTGTCCAATACCCAGGGAAATGCTGGCAGCCTTCACTGAATCAGAGCCTGTGGGTATGAAAGCTGAGAATGGACATCAGAAGCACACATAGGAGGTGGAAGCAACAGAGCTTGATCATGGATTGAATTTGGGTGGTGCCTAGATAGCTGCTTTAAGCAACCAGATGGAGAGTGGCATCATTCACTAAGGTGGAGACCGTGGAGGTGCAGCAGGGTTGGGGCATGCCAGGGAGGCAAAGAGGTCAGATTTAGACACAGTGAGTTTGAGTTATCTTGGAGATGACAAATGCAACCACCAAAACACAGCTGTCTCTACATGACTAGTATAGAAAAGAGGAGTTTAGGACTTGTCAGCAAGTAGGTAACTGGAGCCACAGACAGAATGAGATGTCTTTGGAAGTACAGAAGGAGAAGAAGGGCCCAGGACACAGACCCAGGATACAGGGCAGAGTGCCCTGAGAAAGTATAGCCAGAAAGGCTTCTAGGCTCCCATGACCATGCAAATCCTTGCCTAATCTTGTCCACAGGTGGTTGCAATGGCTGAGGGAGATAACACTGGGGAAGCTGTTTGGGAAAGTTGCAGACCTGCAGATGAGTGCAATTAGACAACACCACCGAGAGATGTTATAGAGAGTCTTCCTTGGAAAGGGGCCCCCACTGCGTCCTCACTGAAAAACCCTGAGGAGATATTTCTGGAAGATCAGAATTCTCAACATCTGTTGCTTGGGCCACTTTAGAGGAAGTCAGTCGGCCTGATTATTTTATGCCCAAATCTTTATCTAGTTAATATTGTTATCTGAAACCAAATTGCAATAATTACGTTGGTATAGTTTAGTGTAAATTTAGCAAAAGAAAAAAAATGTGATTAACAAAATGTACCGGAATAATTGGTTTTCTGCTGGAGTTTTCATCTTCAGCAATTCTTTTTTCCTTAAAGTGAGTTTCTCTTGAAAGTTGGGTTTAAAAGGAAGTTTTAATGAGGCTTTTATTTCTGACACTGCTGAATTCTGAAGGACCCGGCGCTCTGGGTTTCCTGCCAATTAGGTGCATCCTGTTGCTGGGGAACCTCGTGCTCAGAAATGACTTAGAACAAAAACGAATTTTTTAAAGAGGGCTGAGCACTGTGTTAAGTCTTTTATGTGCACTGTCTCACAGAATTTTTACAAGCACCCTTCAAAGCAGATACCACGTTGCTCCCAATTGACAGGTGAGAAAACTGAGGCTTCAGATGGCTCAGTGACATGCCTTACAGTGATGATTGATGGTGCTGAGATTCACCTGGAATATCCTGTACTCTAGAGTTGGAGCTTTTAACCATAGAGCCCTGATGGGTTTAGGATTTATTTTGCCACTCAAAGGCCTATTTCTCTCAACTGTAAATCAAGGATAATAAATCTATCGAGGTGTTCTAAGAATTGAGTGAGAAAACATTTGTAAGGTACCCAGCACAGGGAATAACTCAAGACATCCTTCCCCCTTTCACATGAGTGGTGGATGAGTCTGTTGATGCCTCCTTCACCAGACTCCAGTCACCAACCACAAGCTTGCGCCTCCCAAATTTTGCATTTTCCTGATTACAAAGGACTGTTAAATAGGATGGAGTCTAAGCTTCCTAGTATAGCACGTTGGCTAGTGGCACCATCTTGGAGTCAGACAGACTAAGTTCAACTTCTGGCTGCCCTTCCTGTTTGCTGTGTTATCTTGGGAAAGACACACAACCTTTCTGGGCATCAGTTTCCTCATCTATGAAAGGGGGATAATATTAATAATAATGCCTTCTGTTTTAAAATTTAGGTTTTGTTATTATTCAGGCAGCATGAGGCCAACAGTCGTCATTGAAAAGATGGTTTGTTACTCACAGTTCCCAGAGGGGGCGTGTCACACCATGCAGTGTCCACAGAGGGCAGCACCAGGGTTGGTCTGGCAGCAGAGGAAATGTGAGGAAAATGTTGGGAAGAGCTTTTATTGTGGTTTTCTTGGGAAGGAGCAGGGGAGGCAGGGTAAGAAGGCTTAGGATTGACTCGTTTGAATGATTTCAGCAGGCTCATAGCATATAGGGGCTGGGGAATATTGGCCCAGAGCTTGCAAGCCCAATTAAGGAGGTAGTTGGCAGTATGAGTGTGAGCTCTGGATTATCTGATTAGCCTGTGAAAGGTGTGTTCACAGGTGAGCCCTTTACTATCTCCAGGAATTGGCTATTCCTGGAAGGGGCAGAATCTCCAGGGTCAGCAAAGCCCCAAGTAGTCAAAGCATCAGAATAAAAAGACATGCTTAATAGACCTCCCTCAGCAAAAAACTTAGAGTAGTGTCTAGTGCAGGGTAAAAACTAAATAAGTATGATTATTTATTAGGATAACTATAATCTTTTAGTACCTTCTCTTGAGAGCTTTCTGATCACCTAAACTGACATTCCAACACCTGAGCATCACCACTCCTTACCCACCCCAGAGGTATAAGGTTGTCAGGTAGAAGGAAGATGTAACTATGAAGTGAAACCCTAACAATAGTTGATTTGACACAGTGCTCTGATCAGTAAAGAGGATAGCAGAGTGCTTTGTGTTCTTTAAAGTAAACTTACATGAAATCTTACAGTGGAGGAAAGATCACTTTCTAGAATTGTTTCAGATGTTTCCTAAGTTGGGGAATCTTGTGCTCAAAACACTGAGATCTGTCAACATGGTACAGCTCAGTGACACCCCAGCATCCCGTTTCATCCACTGTGGTCCTCACTGCTATTCACACTTCATAGCATCATTTATGCACCACCTGGCCCATCACCCCATTCATGACACATGCTACTCACTAGAGCAATCCTTTCTCCGTTAATTACAATGTCACGATTTGTGAAACAGAAGATAATGTGGTAAATCCCTCTAGAATAATCCTAGAATGGAGTTGTTTTGGCATTCAGAGTCCCAGATAAACATCCCTCCACTGCAATGTTATCATTATTCTCATTTATCAGGTAAGAAAACCTGCACTCACAGAAGTGAAGTGACATACCCAGGAAACCTACCCTATTATACTACTAGTATAAATAGAATCAGGACTTGAACCCAAGTCACTCTCAAACCTCTTTTTTTCTTTCCACCATTCCACAGGATGGTTTATACTTAGAAAAAAAAAAAAGTATAAAAGAAAAAAATCCTAATCTGTCACCCAGAGTTAGTTATTGTTAACATTTTGCTATGCTTTACTTTATTCTCTTGTTCATACACATATGATTTTTTAGAAAGCAATATCAAACCTTACATACAGTCTCATATCCTGCTTTTTTTTAACCTAAGGTTATGTACTGAGCATTTTTTATGTCAGCAAAATTTCATTGAAATGTTTTTATAATAATACAGCATTTCATCTTATTTTATGGATTTAACATAATACATATAACCAATTCCTCTTATTGGACAATTGTGTTTTTACTTTTTTTCAATATTATATATAATTCTCTGGGAATATCCTTATAAATAAATTTTTGTACCCCTAATTATTTATTTGCAATGATTTTCTAGAATCATTGCAAGTAGAATCAGGGACAAAGATCCTAATCACATTGTATTTAACTATTCATTAGAAGATATCCTGGGATAAACATGACTTCTAAGACATTAAGAAAGCTTTAGGTGTGTCCCACATGGCAAAATACCTACCCCATGAGGAAGAAACTGGGGAGAAGAATGGGTGCCAGGAGGCTGGCTGGGTGGGTGTGTGTTAATAATGGAGGTACAAAATTGCAAGTGACACACCACACCAACACCCCTTTAACAACGTCTGCCAACAGCACAATTTGGTATGAACTCCACGCCAGGGAATGGCCTTTCAAGACCCAACCGGCAGAGGCAATAATATGGCAAATGGGCACAGGCATGAAACCCAACCTCAGCCAGATTGGCATGGGAAAAGAAATCTCGGTAAGTCCCAAGATAGGGCCAGATCTGGGGGATGAGGGGAGACACAGACACAGTCATAGGCCTTCTTTTTACTATGTGTTAAGGTTACAAATGCTTTCATAGGGTGACCAAAAAAATATGCATCACAACCTTGTCAGACAGCAGTTTGAAGCTTAAAAGGCAAGGCTGCTGCACTGTGCCTGCAATTTCAGGTACCTGCCACCAGGGGCACAGTAACACGTGGTCAGGTTTTTCCTGACTATGGGTTGCTTGCTGAGTTAGGTAGAACCCATATATCCCTCTTTTTCTGCTATTTTTAAAAGATATGAATTAAAACATCACAAATATTAATGGTTCTAATTTTATTTGCATCTACATAATGATTTTAAGGCATTATCTAACTCAGAACAAGACATACAGAAACAGAGAAGCCTGGGTATATATTAACAATCTTCCTCTAAAACACAGCAGGAAGAATCCTCTCTTTTTTTTTTCTTTTTTTTTTTTTTTTTTGAGACGGAGTCTAGCTCTGTCGCCCAGGCTGGAGTGCAGTGGCCAGATCTCAGCTCACTGCAAGCTCCGCCTCCCGGGTTTACGCCATTCTCCTGCCTCAGCCTCCCGAGTAGCTGGGACTACAGGCGCCCGCCACCGCTCCCGGCTAGTTTTTTGTATTTTTTTAGTAGAGACGGGGTTTCACCGTGTTAACCAGGATGGTCTTGATCTCCTGACCTCGTGATCCGCCCGTCTCGGCCTCCCAAAGTGCAGGGATTACAGGCTTGAGCCACCGCGCCCGGCCAGAATCCTCTCTTTTGATCAGAAGACACACAAGTCAGAGAAGGAGTAATTATATGTTATGTTTTTAAGGATTACCTGCACCTAGGTGATGAAGAGATTACTAAAAGTAACTTTTCTTCTCTGACTTTGAAGGGCTCTTATAGTATTGAGATATGGATGGAGACCCCAGGATTTCCTTTTATCCCTTCTGTTAAGAAAAATGTCAAGAAACTGTTTGGGAAGTATTGTTGATCTCAGTGTATCCTAGACCTTCTAGAATAGAGCTTACCTGGTTGTTATTTGGGTTCAGAAAATACATGGGAAGAAGGATGGATGGATGGTAATGGATGGATGGATGGATGGATGGATGGATGGATGGATAATGAAGGATGAAGAATGAAGGAGTGAATTGATATAGATGGGTGGATGTATAGATGCATGCATGATGGGTGGATGAGTGGATGAATGGATGGATGGATGATATATGGGTGGATGGATGGATGAAAGATGGAAGGGTGAATTGATATGGATGGGTAGATGTGTAGATACATGCTGGATGGATGGATAGATGGATGGATGGATGGATGGATGGATGGATGGATGATGGAGGAATATGGAAATAGGACAGATGAATGGACAAATTGGTGGACCAAATGTGATGCCAAAGAGTAATCAAAAAGTCACCATTTATGTGTAATCACCACACATTGGTTTCATTTAGGACATTCTTCTCTTCTGCTGGGCCTTTGAACAAGAAGAGAGACCTACCTTCACCAAGCTCATGGACATGCTGGAGAAACTGCCAAAGCGAAACCGCCGCCTATCTCACCCTGGACATTTCTGGAAGTCTGCAGAGTAGGTTTTCTCCCTTAGCATCTCTCCCCACTGCCTTGTCCTCTGCCCTTTGTCACCTTTTTGATCCTCTCTGCCCCTTTTTACTTCTCCCCCAACAAGCTCCTGTCCATGTGCCCACCCTTTGGCAACCACCCTTCCCTACTAGGTTTCCATTCAATGGAGTCTGTTTGGGGGTTTGGGTCCTGGAGTCTGTCCTGTGGGGTCTTGGTTCCTGCAGCTACCCTGGGTTTCTCATTGCTTATCTCTTCCTGATGAAGACTGATGCCCTGGTGAGTCTGAGCATCATGCAGTGAGGTGATGCCTGAACCCGCCACGCCCCCCACATGTCAGGTATTCAGAGTACCCCTCCACGAGGCCCAGCTTTCTGGAACTCTTCCTTCTGGGCTAGCAGCCTGCCCCTGTCACAGCAGATCACAGCTTTCAGCATTCTCCATTGCATGAATGCCAGAGCAGGAAAGGCTCTGAGCTTCTTACCAGAAGTATCTCTAGCTTCCTCATAAGAGGCTCCAGACCCTGCTCCTCCCTCTTGTTTCTGGCTGGAGATCAGTAGTTCTATCTGAGATAATGAGTGTGGCATCTCTTTCTGGGACCTCCCTCGCCAACCCCAGCTTCTGTGACTGAACTCTCTAGAAGGTAAGAGGGAGACAGGCCCAGATGAGGTTACTGAGGGCTCCCCATGGCTCTGCCAGTTGCTCCCAGGTATTCATGGTTGTGCACACTCACACGGACACTCTCAGGTACTCACACTCATGCAGACCCGGGAGCAGTACTTAAAAACGTACCTCTATACAAATTCTTTCACACACGGCTGCACTCAGATCTATACACACACATCCGTATACGAAAACATTCCATGAACGCACACCCCCACGTGGAAGCCTGCACACATAGGCAGACTCAGGCACATACACACAGGTACACAATCACAATCACATTACATGGCACATGAAGACATGTGTATATACACACTTGTACTACCATGGCTTACCCACTGAAGACAAGCAGTACCCACAGATATAGATACCCCCACCTGTGGGCGTGGTGTACCATAGCCATTGTCAGAGTCTTCCCATGAAGTTCCCCAAGGCAGCATCCTGAAGAACAGATGTTCCCAGGGGCTGTGGACATTAGGAGGCTCTTTTTTCCTCCCTTCCCCTGCCGTTTGAGCTTGCTGAACCTGCAGGATGGAATCTCTTCGTTCCCCAGGGGCTTATCCTTTCCCCAGACCATTGGAAGGAGCATAAACTTTACAGACAGACGTAGATTGGAATTCCCACTCCACTGTGTAATAGCTGTGTGGCCTTGGGCACGTCACTCGGCCTCTTTGAGCTATAGTTTCATGCTCTGAAAGGTGAGGGCGGTGAAACTGCTCTAGCAGAAGTGCTGTGCAGGTTCCATGTGGCCACGTGCAGAGCACCTGGTGAGCAGGTGCCTCCCACATAGCAGGCACTCACTGTAGCTCAGCTGCCGTCATCTGCCAGGAGGGAGAATGAGCCCTATGCTGGCAGCCTGGCAGGATTTACAATGGATTGGATATGAAAACAGACAGAAGGAAGCTTTAACAAGCAAAAACTCTGCCCAGCTAAAGGAGTGCTGGCAAGTTAAAGAATTAGTGTTGGAGCTCCAGGCAGGACCCAGCAGTTTAACTGAAGAGAGGGACTTAAAGTTTACTGGTTGGAGGGAAAAGCAGGAGGCTTCTCTTTCTATATTTTATTGTGGAGTTGGGCTGAAACAAACAAACAAACAAACACACACACACAGGACCAGAAACTTTGTGGTCTAGCAGAATGGGATGTTGGGTTCAGTGGAATTTTCCATTCATTTCCTCTTCCATTCATTCTTTTTTTATTCAGCCTATGTGTACTGAACATCTTTTATGTGCTCGACACTGTTCTAAGAGTGAGAATACAGCGGTGAACAAAATAAATGAGTTTCTTTTGCTGCAGTGGACATCAAAGTCTGCTCGTAGCAGGAGGCTGTGGTGTGGATCCCAGTCCCACCCCCTCTTCCTGCATCTCTAGCTGTTATAGAGCTTTATTCCAGCCCCACACACTGGATAACCATTCCTAGTCCATGCCCAAGTGGGAAAAGTTCTGAATTCAAATCCTGATGCTGCTGCTTCCTGGCAGTGTGTCCTTGGGCAAAACACTTAACCTCTCTGAGCCTCAGTGTTTTCATCTGTGAAATTGTATGATTCTGTCATAGAAGTTCATCACTGATTATTTTCATCTTTGAAAATATTCGTAGCCTGTATTGCAGGCTCATCTTAGGCTTAAATGGGATCAGGTATGTGTGGCACTTGGCACAGAGCCCAGCATATAGTACGACCTCAGTTAGCAGAAATCTCTTCCACATCTTCTTGCAGAAGACAGGAACTGTTCCTCTCAAGCCACCTGACCCTCTGAGAGGCTGCTCATTCACAACGGATGATATCATCATGTCCTTGTGACCTCTCACCACTCTCTCCCTTCTCTCCCCACTCCAGGCTGTGACCTTTGGACACCGGGACGGCATTCAGCTGCCTGGGCTCCCGTCACCTCTCCCTCCCTGCTCTGTCCTCTGCCAGCTCAGGAGGCCAGAGACTCAGCATCAGAGGGTACCAACCCTGACCGACCTGGGAGCACTGGACAACAGCTTGGCGGCCTCTCTGCACCTCAGACTTGAGCCCTTTTCCTCGGGCAGGGTTGGGGACCCCCGAGCTAGGACTGAACCGGACCAGCCAGGGTGATGCATTATTGGTCAGTGCGGCCCAGGGAACAGCACAAATGAAAGCACTGCAGGCTGCACGTGGTGCCTTTGGGCTATGGGACTAGGACAGGAGGCCCCACGTGGGCGGGCTTGCAGCTGGGGCTAAGTGTGTGTGTGTCTGTGTGTTCGACGCTGTTCACTCTTGTTTCACCTTGACAAGCAAGAGCCAGACTGCCCCGGTGATGGGGCACCCCTCAGTTCTGTCTTTGTGTGGTGGTTTCCAGCTGTGCCATCTGGGAAGCTAAGAGGAGGGGTACAGAGCCGAGCGGTGGCTTAGTCAAGGCTGCTGAGCCAAGATCGAGTAGGGAAGGTCGGGAGTGGCTAAGCTCGTTCCTTTGGAAATATCTGTTTTCAGACACCCCAACCCAAGCCTGTCATGGCATGTGGCACCTTTGCGTAGAGCTCTGAAGTACAGTAGGAAAGTCAGAACATCTTTTGAGTGCTGGGTCTCTCTGGGGGACCTATGCCCCCATTTCTGCTGTTTCCTCCTGTTCTCTGAGAGTAGCACCCTTTTCACCTCACTGCCCCCACCTCCTTGCCATTTGGAAAGCCAAGATGACTTCTGAGGGGCTCCTTAGAGCTCACCATCATTCAGGGCACCCCCTGAAGTCTGGTCCCTGAGAATCAGGGCTCTGGGCAGGGAATTCTAGGACATTCCTTTTCTTCCCTCTTCTCTGCTACTCACACCAGTGAAGCTTATTCCCCAACCGTGGTGGATGAGGGTCCTTGGGATACGTCCCTGTTGGGTTATGTGGTTGTACCTGTGATAACACGTTTGCAAAAGATTTCCCTGCCTTTCACCCTTAAGCAGTCCTGTTGGGAAAGCACAAAGGGGGATGTCGTTTGTTACAGTTCTGCGTTCTCCACTCTAGCCTGGTGCGGGGTCCTGGAGTGGCTTTCCCATCGGAAGCCTGTGTCCCTCACCTGTGTGTGTTCCCTCAGTGCCCAACCTTTCCTCCCTCCTCTTGCTCCCAGCCTGGGCCGGCGACTCTTCCTGACCATGTTGGGGAAACCACTGGTGTTCTGCAGGAAGGATGCCGGGAGCAGGCTGGGCATGCAGATGGGAGACGAGAGCCTCTGGGTCATTTGCCCATGTTTTCAAAGCCCTGACCCCCTGAATGTGACCTGGTACAAAACGGAAATCTGTCCCCAAGCAGAGCAATAGCAGGAGTATCTGGGCAGTGAACAGTTAGCCCAGGGCGGCCCACAGCCCCTCTGTATTTCCTGGGTACTGCCTGGGCCTTAGTCTTCTTGTAGCTGCTATCTATCCAGACATCTCCCTCCTAGAGAGCCAGAGAGAGGACCTAAAACTTCAAAACCCTTACCTGATCTTACTCCCAAAATCCAAACAGACCTACAGGGATCTCTTCCCCACCTTGGCTGGCTCTCAGACTGGTTCATGCTCTGGGGGCCAAACCTGCTTCCACACTGGGAAGAATGATGAGACCAGTCATGCTTCGCAGAAGCCTGGCTACAGGAAACCCCTGTGTTTCCCAAAGGGCCCTCCCGAATTGCCTTTCCAACACTCCCAGCTATCTGGGACTACAGGACTAAAGACCCCGGCTTGGGCTGCTCCTAAGTGGACATTGCTCTTCTGGGGACATCTGTGGCTCTTGGCTTGACATGTGTGTGTCTTGGAGGCATTTTGTACATGTTTGCCTGAGCCCCAGCCACTCTGGGGTTGCTGGGGATGGCTCTTGTCAATGGACACCTCCCCATCCCAACACAACACTCTGTGTCCCAGCCCTTGGCCTGGATTTGCACCTGCCTTGGCTCTGCCCAGCAGCCTACTGAGTGCCTGAAACCCAACCACTCACTTCTCTTCCATCACACCAGGACTTCTTGGGTCCACGGACTCCAGTCCTTGTTTGTCATGTTCCCTTGTGCCAAGAGAAAGGATACGAAGAAGGAAAAGGCAGCCAGGGTCTACTACCCTGCAGCTGAAATGTCCACAAGAACTGGCACCTTCTCACTCTTACCTCTTCTGTTTCCAGAATTAACTGAAATATCCAACTACAGCCTTTGGCAAGGCCTAGCATGGTCTCCAACAATTGATTTTTCCATTCATTCATGAGCACCAGTTTGGGATTAAGGACAGGGCCTGTGTGATCCAGGGGGAAAACCCAGCCCTTTGTGGAACAGGGTGCCTTGAGTCCATCCCTGAATCTGTGTCACTTGCTCTTGACTTCTCGATCTTTCCCCACTTCACTACTCTGTCCCCACGTGCATTGGTCTCTGCTGCAGCGAGGCCAGGCT